AGGACGCCCACCTTACGAAGAGTTGCCTGAAAATGTGTTCGTGAAAGTGTTATCTGAAAGGATGGATGATATTCACCATCAACTGCATTCAAACTTGAAAACGTCTGCTGATTCCATGAAGCTATGTTATGATAAGAAGTCTACTTAAGTCAGCTTTGTACCAGGAGACAAGGTGTGGTTGTATAATCCCAGGAAGACCAAAGGGAAGTCTCCTAAGTTGTCTTCTCCATGGGAAGGCCCATATGACATAGTGAATCGTCTCTCAGACGTGACTTTCCGAATGAAATGTAGTTGGCGAGGTAAGCCAAAGGTGGTGCATGCCGACAGGCTTTAGCATTAGCACGGTCCAGGTCATTTTAGCTGGAACGAAATAAACAACAGAACAAATGACACTGCTGAAGACGTGTCAACTGAAAAAGCCACTGTCAAAGAAGAAACTCTACCCAGTTTTGAGAAGGAAAACAGTGAAGCCATTAATGAATTACTACCACTGATGTGACTGCTACAGATAATGGGACATTTCCTGATGGAGCAGATGAATCCCACTTAAAGCAGAAGCCAATGAGATGGAGACCAGTATGAAAGAAGATACATCCTGTAAAATTAAGAGTCTTTGTTGTATTTTAATTTTGTGTTTGTAAATTCTGTACATTTAATTAAGTTATTGTTAATTATCTATTAGTTTAATGTAAGTGGCTATTGTTTGGGACGGACAATACTAAGGAAGGGGCAGTGTTACGACAGTGGAAGTCGTATGACGCTGGGAACATGCGCGCTGGGGTTTCTCGAATTATCGAGGAACCCCGCGAATGTCCAAGTGTTTGCTAGACACCCTCTTTTTTAGTATATAAGCCTGGCAAAGAACGCCAGTGAAATAGATAGATAGATAATTAAAGAAGCGAACAGTAGTGACGGTAATATAAAGTTTGTGTTTTGTTATCGAGATTGCAAACTATTGACTGTGGAATTACTGTGTATTAAAAGTTTGTATCGAGGAAGAATAAACTGGTTTAATCAAGAAAGGACCTGTATGGCTGATGTTCCCCGGAAAGAATTTTACCAAAAATTATCAAACAAGCAGATAAGTAACAGTGACATTACTACTTCACAGTTAAATTTTGTGTATTAGCAGTTCTCTAGATTAAATAAAAAGTGTTATATATAATCAATGAAAATAAATGTTGAAAATCCATGATAAATATAGATTTTTTTTTCTTTTAGAAATGTGAAGGTTTGTTGCCCCCAGAATTCAAGAAATTCAGCGTGGACCCTCAAATCACATCTTTTGAAGTTTTGCAAAGTCTTCTCGCAAGGGCTTTTGACATTAAAGGGTAAGTAGCACTACCTGTTATTTTTATTGGAAACTATCTATTTCTATTTGACAGTTGCAAGATTACTTTAATTGTTATACATAAATGAATGCAACCAGTGTAAGTTTTTAGATAACTTGGCAACTCTTCTTAGAATCATTTCTTTCTATGCTGCTACTTCTGTTTTAAAAGTTACATCATTGGTTTAAGCATGAAAAGGAACAATTTCTTCCTAATAATTGTAATGTCTCATACAGTAAGTGAAGTAATTTTCTAGCACTACAAACAACACTAACTTTTGTAGCAGTAGCACACATGCACTGTAAAGTTAAAAACCAAATGAATGCTCTAACCTTCAAGAGTATCACTTCTTGACATTTAATTCAAGTTTCAAATGTAACCTTTTTAATATCCATTGAAAGAAACTGTCATTTTCTAAATTTTTTCTTCCTTTTGATTTTTGTAAAACAGATATTGGTAGTTTTCATACTATTCGTTTTAAATCATGATTTTGGATTTTAAGGTTTCTAAAATGATGCATTGTTTAATTAGACAACAAATGTATTGTATTTATGTAAAAATATCTTGAGGTATACATATATATATATATATATTCAAAATGAGATCCAATGTCAATGTCATGTAAACCGGATTTCAATATGACATCAACATCCGAGCCTATATATTTCACTCATTAAATGTAACCCTTTATTTTCCTGAAGAAGAATAGTGAACTATTCGAAAGCACTCGAGTTTTGGGTTTCATTTTGAAAATATTACAACTTTTGTAGGTGATCCTGTATGCTAACTGCTTAACCTGGATATATATGTATATATATATAATGTTGAGATGACTTATTTCGCAGTTCCATTTCCATTTAATAACTAGAATTGTCTTTGAATTATGTGTCTAAACTTAGCAAAAAATCTGTTTACCTTATCATTTTTAAAATTAAAAATAAAATGTGCACTTCTCATTATTAACCATAATTTGTATTTTTTTGTACCAAGAGAGTTTACCATAAGCTACTTGGCTCGAGGTGATGATGGATGTGAGACGTACTTAGCTTTATTGTCAGACTGGGATCTAGATGCAGCTTTCCTGGGCTCGTCTGAGCCTTATCTTCAATTGAAAGTAGACCTAAAGCCATTTGAAGAAGGTGAGTGCTTTTATTTTCTTTTATAGAATAACTATTAGTAAGGTAATAAATAAGCATGAAAAAACATTTATTTAATCATTATTTCTATCAGCTTTCATAATTTTCTAAATTAGAATATCAGCTTTTATTTATAAGATTTGAATTGCTAATCTTTTTATCTAAGTATATGAAAGTTTGGTATCAGTTATTTTATGAGTATTAAAATGACCCTTTGAAAGTTTTTTAATTCTGTTATAATTCTTACTTATTTGGATTAGAATATAGATCCTGTTTTTTGGATTATCAGACCTGACAAAAGGAGGTTTCCTGTTTAATTTACTTAACAAGTAATATTTTTCACACACACACACACAAACATATGTGCATTTATAGCAGTTAAGAACTTAAACACACGAGTTGTGTTTAGGTATTAATCTACCTTAAGATTTCCAATGATAAAACTCAGGATAATGTACTTCCTTGAACATTAACTTGACCTGTGACCACATAATCAGCACTGAATGTTTACATCATCATTAATTTGGGATAAACTAGGCATAGTTAAAACATTTCATGTTGATTTTTATCTCTTTGGGTGTTTTTGCTACACTTAATTTTTTTTGAATTATCACTATTCATCAACTACTTTAAGATTTGAAAAAAATGCTTGAAATAAATTTGGTACAATTTTTCCTTTGATTAATTCAGAGGAAAACTGTTGTTATGCTTTTAAATAATAATAGTTACAGCACCTGTGAAATATGGGAAATTGGTTGTGTTAAATCTTTATTTAATTAATTCAGAATGAAATAACTGTTATATTTCTAAGTATTAAGTAGTTGCAGTACATGTAAAATAGATAAATTTGGTAATGTAACCTTAGAATTTGCTAATGTGAGGATTTGTAGTTTTATATTCCAGTATACTTAACCAGTTTTTATTAGTTTGTTATCTCTGTCATGTCAAAACTGTGTTTGACCAAAAGCACAGTTTTGCAGATTCAGAGACTCGTGGTTTTGAAACCATAAAATTAGGCTGTGTGAAATACAAGACTTTGATAATGACAGATGTATCATTTCTAATTGCAAGATACATAACAGTTTAGACAGAATGTGAAATGACATATTCTGAGAACAATTCCATATAAAACACAAACCATGATGGTGACATTATGCTATCATCTTGTGTAGTCTCAGTGGGATGATCATGTACTTAGGGAAAAATAATAAACAAATATTTATTATTTGATGTCAACATCAGCCTGATGAAATATAAGTCTCTCCAACATTACCAGTGTGATGAAAAATCACAATAAAAATTTTGCTGCTCAGTTTGTATTTCTAGCAAATAATGTTTTTAATTTTTATTGAACGTTTTAAGAGTAAGGTGTTGAAAAATTATCAGTCTTAAAGGTAGTTTCTTCACAATTGCTTCATTAAAATAATTTGAAGGTACAATGAGTTTTGTAGGAAATGTTAAGTAATCTGTAATCTAAACAAGAGACTTGCTCAATGACCATGAAAACCTCTACTACATCAAATAAATTATTGGGAAAATAGAAGAAAACACCTGTTTACATACCATGGAGGGAATGAGAAAACTTAAAACATAGCCGAGAACATACGCTTCTGTTGTTTTTGTTGTTTTTTGTTTTTACTTTTAGAAACAGCTAGAGTTTATCAAGGCATTGGATTCCTGACCCCTTTTACTGCTAGCAGAGGAACACATCATCAGCAAGATCACAAAATTAGACAAGAAGAAGAAGCACAAAAAGATGCACATCTTCATGCTCTTATTTCAAGTAAAGTACAGTTCTGGGTTGAATATTTAAGGTTTTGTTAACACACATCAACATAAATGACACAACCACTTCTTGTAGAAAATTAATGTTTTCAACTACCTCCAAGGAGTGTTAAACCATATTTTAATTACAGCAGTCATCATGATTGATCTTGCCATAGTGAAAGCTTCTGTGGTGGTATCTAGTATTTAAGCCTAATTTTAATGTTAAACTACCTACTATTTTTAAAGTTTGTTTAACTATCAAAGGGAGAAGGTTTGAAATTTACTGACTCCTATTTTTAAATTACTGTTTCTTACTACCATAAAACTGCTGGGGATCATGGTCAGGTGATACTCACAGAGCTTATCACTGCTCTAACCACCAACTTGAATGAATGATGCTGTAAATACCTCTAGCCAATTTTCTGGTAAAGTAACTATATCATTACATCAAACTCATTAAGAAACAATGCTTTCAATTAAAGACATGGAGAGTATCTAATAATTTGGACTTAAAATAGCCTGAAGTATTGATAAGAAATCTAGAAGATTGATTTATTACAGTTCACTGAAAGCTTGATTAAATCTGGAAAGAAACACCATTGGTTTCTTCTGTAAAAGAGTTAGAGGTGTAAAGTATATGTGAGCTGGCCTTGTTCTTTGAAGGGTTAGACATAGAATATATGTGAGCTGGCTTTGTTTTATGAATGGTTAGAAACACAGATTATATGTCTCCTGGCTTTGTTTTGTGAATGGTTAGAAACATAGATTATATGTCACCTGGCTTTGTTCTGTGAATGGTTAGAAACATAGATTATATGTCACCTGGCTTTGTTTTGTGAATGGTTATGGATGCAGATTATACATCAGCTGGTTTTGTTCTTTTAAGGGTTGGGGCTATAGAACATACATAAATTGGTTTTGTTCTTTTAAGGGTTGGGGCTATAGAACATACATAAATTGGCTTTGTTTTTGAAGAGTTAGAGACACAGAACATATATAAGCTGGTTTTGTTCTGTGAAGGGTTAGAGATTTAGAATAAATATTAGCTGTTCTGTTAATGTTTAGAGATGTAGAGCATAGATAAGCTGGGTTTGTTCTGTGAATGGTAAGAGTATATGTCGTCTAGTTTTATTCTGTGAAGAGTTAGAGATGTAGAATGTACATAAGCTGGGTTTGTTCTGTGAATGGTAAGAGTATATGTCATCTAGTTTTGTTCTGTGAAGAGTCAGAGATGTAGAATATACATAAGCTGGGTTTGTTCTGTGAATGGTTAGAGTATATGTCACCTACTTTTCTGTGAAGAGTTAGAGATGTAGAATATACATAAGCTGGGTTTGTTCTGTGAATGGTTAGAGTATATGTCACCTACTTTTCTGTGAAGAGTTAGAGATGTAGAATATATAAAGCTGGGTTTGTTCTGTGAAGAGTTAGAGATGTAGAATGTACATAAGCTGGGTTTGTTCTGTGAATGGTAAGAGTATATGTCGTCTAGTTTTGTTCTGTGAAGAGTTAGAGATGTAGAATGTACATAAGCTGGGTTTGTTCTGTGAATGGTTAGAGTATATGTCACCTACTTTTCTGTGAAGAGTTAGAGATGTAGAATGTACATAAGCTGTTTTTTTTTTCTATGTGGGATTATAGGCACAGAAAATATGCAGACTGGCCTTAATCTGTAAAGTGTTAGAGGTGTAGACTATATGTCAATGGGTGTTCTGTAAAGGGTTAGATACATAAAATATATGTCAGCTAAATCATGTTTTAATGGGGAAGCTGTGGATTGCTGATAAATCATCATAAATATCTTGGTATATGTACTTTCATGAGGTGGTACATATGTATAATTTTTATACTGAAATACATTCTAGTTGTAGTTTAATAATACACTATTTCATTTGGCTCTCAAGTATATTGAATAGTGTAAAATAATTTTATGGTATGCTTCCCAGTATTTTGAACTAGGTTTTGTGTTTATAGATTACTATTGACTTCTGATCAAAGCAAGTAATCTTGCATAGGTCAGAATTAAAACGAATTAAGTGAATATAGGTAATTTAATCTTAAATCCATATATTAAGCTAACTATGCAGAATAAGCCTTATAATAAAAATGTATAATAATTAAAAATGAGAAATAATAACAATATATATTATATATTCTCAGCAACACTGTTAATGAAAATAATAGTGAAGAATAAGTATAGCTTTCTTACAGAACACATAAAATGATTTGTTTGATTCATGCACCAATTTCCTGTCTCTTGAAGAGCTCAAAATCAAAAATATAAGATAACACCAGTGTGATAAAACAAATTCATGCACTGTGCAAAGTGTTACTATCTCACAAGAAGCCTGAAACAAAATTACCTTTCAGGTAAAGAAAGCTTAAAACTACACATTTATACATCTTAATAAATATAAAAACATTAATGCATTAGCATTAATCTTAAAGAACAAAAAATCAGCAACTTCCTAGGTGTCCTGCTGTATTTCAAAATAAATTATTAACACTGAACATCATGAAGTATTATTTCCTTTTTTTTAACAGTTGATATTTATCTCATCACTCAACTTTGTATTGTACATTCACCAGAACAATGTACCTGTAAGTGCTTTTTACATCAAATGTGAATATCTTTTCAGTACAGTCTCTCGATCCAGTTACATTAAGTTTGCTTTGCTATCGCCAGTCAGTGTCTGTATGTGGGTAACTATAGGTGGTGGTAACACTTCTAAAAAAATTCAATTGAGGTTCAACAGAATTGATCAGTACACCTAAGATAAATTTAAATATACCTACTTAACAATTAGACTGATGTTCTTGTTAGTCCATCTTTATGGGCATGAAGAATATTCCTAATTTTAAAGTCAAAGTTCAGCCATCTGTATCTGTTAACAGAAAAACATGATACATCCCACTTGAGCTACATGTAAATTTCAAACATTGATATGTTTATTGGTGAAAACTTCATATAGAAATTAATTCTGTTGTATTCAAACCTGTTAATGTCCAATTAACATGTTTATGGTTTCTGACAGTATTGGGGCTGCCATTTAATTTATTTCTAAATGTGAGTGTGATTTAAATTTTTCTCTCATTAGGATTAGAAGACTGGGATGTGATTGCTCCAGTAGACATTTCTCGTCCTCAAATGACTGGTCTGGTGGACAGGACATCATTCACTGGAACTATACTTAATCATGTAAGTCATTTCACAGTCTTCCTTTTATATTTCATGTACTTTTTAAACTTGATTACTGGCATGATGAAGGTTTACTCGGTTTGTTGAGAAATTTGGTTGACTTAAGTATTGTAAAATTTATTCAATGTTTATAACTATAGAACTTCTTTAAGTTCAGATGTTTAAGATCCACAAATATCAGTCTTGAAATACTATATTCACTAGTTTTGCTCTACTGAAACGTGTCTATTGGCAATCACTACAAAGATTATTAAGGCTTACGAAGCAAAGAGACCTGTACTGGTTTGTCGCCAAGATATTGAAAAGGCATATGATATTACAAATCATTCAATATTGCTGTATAAATGTGCCCATTATGGCTTACGAGGTAATATATATATATATATATATATATATATACATATGTAATATTATAAAAATGTGTTTAAATAACAGGTAATGATACACCACAATTAATAGAACAAAACCCGTTCTCATTAGTCTTCTCTATGGAGTTCCTCAAAGCTCAATTCTTGGCCCCCTTTTGTTTATTACTTATGTGAACGATTTACTCTCGGTATGACCAAGTGGAACTTGTTATTTGTATGCCGATGATACGACTTTTACTATTGAGTCATATCTTGTGGATTGTTTTAGAATTGGGAACAATATATTGATGTCTATTATAGCTTGGCGTATTGACAAACTGCTTTAATTTAAATATAAGTAAATCACAACATATGATTATATCTAGAGAACCAATAAATGAGAATTTGATTTTTAATGGTGCACCACTGCATAAAGTTGATTCACTAAAGATTCTTGGAGTTATTATTCAAAGATACCTTAGATGGGATGAACAAATGTTAATGGTTTCAAATAAACTTGGAAGAGTTGTTTATATCATGAAGAGAAGTGAGAAAATTTTTCCTGTACATGTGATTTATGAGATTTATTATTCCATCTTTTATAGTTAAATGACTTATTGTTTAAGTGTCTGGGTTACAAATATTGGTGCTTTAAGACCCATTTGGAAGTTACAAAAGTGGGTTTTGAGGCTCATACTAAGACTTCCTTACTGTGGAACAGTTATAAACAGATTCAAGGAATGTGGTCTTTTCACCATTTACCAGGCCTGTGTCTACCAAATCATCTGTGTTGCCAAAGATATCAGTACTTTTAATCCTGAAATTAAATTGTTAATTTTTTCTAGAGAAAACCATTATTCTTTACATCACCACAATATATTTTTCTGTCCAAGAAGTGCATTAGCTCTAAATTCAAAGTACTTTTACTACTTGGCTCCTGCTATTTTAAATTGAATGAACCTAAACATTTGGACTACTTCTAGTTTCAAATTATTAAAATCAAACGTTTTGAATTATGTTTTTAAATATTTTTCTACATTTGGATTAATGATTGTGTAAAATGTGTGTGTTTTTGGTTACTTATCCTACATGGCTGTGAATAAAGGACAAATCTGTCAATACAATGCAATGCCAGTATACTCTTACACACACAGAATATTTATCCCTGGAAGAAAAATTTTGAAAAAATAAAATAAAAAGTGATGTTTATTTCCACGTTGTAACAACATTAGCAGGCTTCTTTTAAAATACACAACCAGTAAGTGAACTTTTTCATTACATAGTTGTTTCTATGTTGTTGTTTTTTACATTTAATTTACTAATGATATTTCAAAACACATAGTGAAAAACAAAACTTTTAAAAGCTTTCTACTTAAACACTAAATGGCTACTAAGGACTCTACTTAACACTGGATCAGGCTCCCCTTTTGTTGCAGTGATAGACTCTAAAAGATACTAGAATATATATTGTTTGATTGTAACCTATATGTGGATGTAATTTATTGATAGATGTCAGCAGAGGATTATGGTGGTTGATTGGATTTTCATGCTTATTCCCAAAGATGCTCAAATGGCTTCAGATCAAGTGTTTGTACTTGCCAAGAGATATAGCTAAATGAAATCAATGTCATATTTTTAAAATCTGGTTTAAACAATACAAGCATGATGATTTGTTGTATTATGATCTTGGAAGAACCTGTGTCTTTCACGATGAAATGTAGTACTCTATCATGGACACAGTTGGCAATATCTCAAGTACACTTTGAATGTTACTTGAGTTTATAAAAGAATCAAATGATCAATCCCTTACCACAAAAATATTCCCCCATACCAAAGCATGTGTTTAGTATATTGACCTTTGTGGGTTTTACCTTATATTAGTTTAAGTTTGTATTATATATATATATATATATTTACAGAAGACTTAACATTATTACTTCCTGTAGCTAGCACTGTGTTGTATCTGTTAGAATTTAGTTAACTGTCTGGATGTGGGTGGGTCAAAATGTGCACATCACCTTTTACTGAGTTATGTTCATACTTTTAATTAAACAACTTCACTTTCAATGTAAGTTAATAAACTTGGTATTAAAATGTAGATTGTGATTCAAATTTTAGTATTATATTAGTTTTGATTTCTTAATTTCAACAGGAAATATTTAAGCTAATTCTCAGTCTTCTCTGTATCACGTGATGGTTTTTCTGCTCCTAGTTACATATTTATACACTCTTTCCTCCTCTATTTGAATTTCTAAGTTTTAATGCAAATTACAGATTTATATTATAGGTATTGCTAAAACATGAAACTAACTATTATAGCCCCCAATCATCTTGTTTTACTTAGATATGAACCAGAAAGTCCAACCCACATGCCACACCCTCCTATCACATCCTCTCTTTCACAAAATATCATTAATTCTCTCTGACATTTGCTACTAAGTTATTCATAACCAATGGAAAGAGCAGATTTTAATTCACTGATTCATATTTAATGCTAGCTTGTTCTCATGACAGCTTTTGAATTATTTGGCATATAGATCAATAGTATCTATTGCCAAGTTTAGCTTGACCAGATAAGGGAATTATGTCTAGTGCTCATTCTTTAATTAGAAAGTCATTTCAATTTTAACAAAAAAGTTAAATGAAAAAATTTATCAGTTTGGTCTGCATGTTAGCTGCTTGTGAATTTCATAATTAATTTACATAACTTGAGCTTGGTGTTTGTTATGTGATTTAGTTTTTTTATGCAGGCTTAGTAGTTAGGAATGGCTCAAAGAACAATAAAATCAAAACATAAGAAAAGGATAAATGACTGGAGATATTTGGGTGAATAATTAATCATCTGTTACAATCTTTGGTCATTCTAAAGAGAAAAAAGGGTAATTTAGATTTATTTAGCATTTTTTATGGCAGTTATGAGGCTGGTCAAATTGACCAACGTTGTATAGTGTTAATGTAGAGAAAATAACAGGTAAAATATAGTTTTATTGAAAACACTTTGGATATTCATTTAAGAGGTCCTAGAGGTTATGCAAATAAAATTTGAAAACATTAAGATTACAAAAAATATTTTTAATCTTATGAAAATCACCTTGCACTTGTCAGAGTCTGAATCACACCCTGACTTCATAAATTTACAGACAAATCTTTAGTGAAAGTACTTAATTAAAAATCTCATTTTTTATGTCTAAAATACTTTTAATGTTTATTAAAAGCTTGATAAATTTCATAGAGATACACTTCCTACATTAAGAATTATAGTGTGTGTGTGGGTGTACTTTCATGGATACATGCTGGCTGCAAGGTTGGTCAAAATGACTAAGCTCTTGTATTGTTATACACAATTTATATGATCTTTGAAATAGAACATTTTAGTTAATGGATTTACTCTTCTGCTGCAGATACCTGAAGAAAGGTATTGCCTGAATTGTTGTTCAACAAAAGTATATATTGAAAAATATATATAGCTTTAATTAATATATTGTTGTCTTACAATCAACCTTCAGTACTACTTTCCCATTCATACTGTTTTACATCAAACAGAACAAAAACATTTCTTCTTACAGTTGACCCTCAGTACTACTGTATAATTAATACTGTCTTATATTGATCGATCAAAACTAGAAATTCTTTAGTCAATCCTCAGAACTACTTTACAGCTAACACAAGACCTGAGATAGAAAGTAAAACATAAAAACGTTTGCAGTTTGACTTGAAGGTTTATATAAGAAAAGCTGTAATGGTAAATCTTGAAAAATAACTTTCAAAATATAAAAGACAAATCATTAGTTTATTTTTGTTTAGGTTCAAAGAATAAAATAAATGCATTCAGGGTCGTACTGTGGGTAGTGCAGGCGGTGAGTTTGCACAGGGTACCAACTCAAAGGGTGGCACCAATTCCCCGATTGACTAACAAAGCAAACTAATGGGTTGTGTTTGAGGACACTGAATTAATATCATACAGGACCATCAAACATTGGTACGGCACTGAATGCATTTATAATTTGATAGGAATGTTTACAAGATGATTACATAATCGAAATTTAAAAGAGGCAATTGAATCTTTTATTCATTATACTTAGAACTGATTAGTAAGAAAATAACTTTTTTTTTATATTGTGGAATAAGAATTTATTTTAAACATTTTTACACTTTAAAGAATATTAAAAGTATAATTGTGTATTCACCTTATGATTGATTATTTGAAATTGTATTTATGTGTTTAATATTTTAATTTACAGGTTCTGTAATGTTGATATGAAGAAGTAATTGCTTTCAAGTTTTGAGCAGTTTTTAACCTCTTTACTTTTATCTATATAGGTAATTTTTTGTACTTTGATGTGTCTTTGCTTAAATACATGTGCAAGACTAAAATGTTTCATACAGAGTGTTATGAGAAATCTCTTGAAATGTGTCTTTATCTGTTTGTGTTTTATTGACTGTGTAACTTGAACCCATGTATTCAGTTGGTCTGTTATGTGTTAAAAGCTTGTTGGTTATACATTTTAAGAAATTTTACTGTAAATATAACTTGTAGATGGAGAAAACATTCAGCATGGTCCAACGAGCCTTGAACATTGGTGAAAATGATCAATTGTTGGAAAACATAAAACCTCTAAAGCAGCCCATGACAGATTCTGAGTTTCATAATTATTTAGACAATATTGGGAGACTAGTGCGACCAAAGGAGCTCCGGCTCTCTGTTTATCAAGGTGGTCTAGAACCCTCACTGAGGAAAGTTGTTTGGAAACATATACTTAATGTTTATCCAGAAGGCTTAGCAGCCAAGGAGAGGATTGATTACATGCAAAAGAAGTGTAAAGAGTACTTTCGGCTCTGCAGAACTTGGCAGGATATGATAGATGGAGGTAAGACGAATGATCTCATGCATTTTGTGACAAATATGGTGAGAAAAGATGTCCTCCGAACTGATCGTACCCACAAGTTTTATGCTGGATCTGATGACAATAAAAATGTAGTTTCTTTGTTTAACATTTTAACAACCTATTCACTGAACCATCCTAGTGTATCATACTGCCAAGGAATGAGTGATCTAGCATCTCCAATCCTAGTAACTATGAAGGATGAAGCACATGCCTATGTATGCTTCTGTGCTGTCATGCACAGACTCAAACCAAACTTCTCACTAGATGGTGAAGCCATGACTGTCAAGTTTCAACACCTGTCAGAATTGCTTCAACACTATGACCCCCAGTTCTATGAGTATCTACAACAACAGGGAGCTGATGATCTCCTCTTCTGCTACCGGTGGCTGCTTTTGGAGTTGAAACGAGAATTTGCATTTGATGATGCACTTCATATGCTGGAAGTATTATGGAGTTCTTTGCCTCCAGCACCACCAAAGGATGACTTGCCTTTGTTTGAGGAAGAGTTTTCTCCTTTCACCTCATGTCCTCACTCTCCCCGTTTGAATAGTCGAGAAAACCCATACACAAAAGTGCGAGCAATCCGTAAACAGAATTCTTCATCTTCCATCACTGGAGTGAAGTTAGGAAAGGAACGAGAAGACTATCCTAAATTGAGATATTATGAATCAGCTGGATCTTCTAGCCTGAGCTGTGGTTGTAGAAATGAACAAATTGTGGATTACTCAGTGTCAGGCAGAACTCAAGAATTTAACAGCTCAAGAACCAACATAATGGAAGGAGAATACAGTACTGATGACTCCCAGGAGTATCTACCAATGACCACTTCTATCACACGTGAGCTGCGTATGGAACTTGAAAATCTCAATCGCAATCTTCCAGGATCCCGCCCTTCACTTCCACAATCACCCACTGGTGATTCAGAAGATCTAGATTCACCTCATTCACAAATCAGTGGTGATCCCAATTCTTGTGATTCTTGCAGTATATGTCGAAGAGGAAGCATTGGTCCAGACCCAGAGGATGACACTCACAGTTGGACCAGTGACGACCAGTTCTCAGGAGGAGATCAAATACGCCCATTAGATAATATAAAAAAACTACACAAGTCCCCAGAGACATTGGATGTTAATGGTGATCTTGAAGTGGAACCAGTAACATGCTCCACTCCTGATGATCAGTATGAGTTAGAACTTGAAAGCATAGAAACTACACCCCAATTACATCTTCAGCACTGCAATGGAGAAATTTTGGAAAATGAGGAATCCTACAGTAACAATGGACTTCAATGCTCTTGCCACTTGAAATCTGTTATACCCATCCAGCTTGTTCATAGCCCTGGCCCTGAAGATCAGCATCATGGCAGTGATAGTTCAGAATCTCTTCCAGATAAGTGTGGTGAGGAATGTGCAGAAGAGAGGTACACAGCTAAATTAAACAACCAAAGTGAGGGATATAGTTCAGGAAGTACAATGTCTTCAAAAGAAGCTTCCACACAAGAAGAAACTGGCAGTGATCAAGTTGGTGGTAATGGTTTTATTGATTCTGGAGTGATTAGACCAGTGATGACAAACTCTTGTGAGGAAGCTTTGGAATTCAGTGGGAGAATGAAACGTTCCAAGTTACCACCACCTCATGAACTAGGTGGGGGAAATCCATTCATGTTATTTTTATGTTTGACACTGCTTCTTCAGCATAGTGATAGTATCATGAGGAGCAACATGGACTACAACGAACTAGCCATGTACTTTGACAAAATGGTGAGAAAGCATAATGTTACTCGAGTTCTGCATCAAGCTCGAACCATGTTTGCTGAATATTTGAGAATGGGTTGGCATGAAGACAGTTGGAAGTCAGCATCTAATCCTCAGGTTTAAGTAGCCAAAGTGAACTGTGTCTTAAAAAACTTTTTCTTTTATTGTGTGGAATATTGATATGATGAAAATATGGACACAGAAAGTTAAAACTTATCCCTAGGTTTTAATTTAATTATTAAGTTTACATCAACTTTGTAATGAAGAACCAGAAACTTCTTGTTCTAACTTTTTGTATATCAGTGTTTGAGTTTTATGAAAGTTAAAGTGAAACCAGCACTCTCCTTTGAAGTTATTTTGTTTATCTGTTTTAATACTAATTAATTTCATTTTTTTAACTTCTTTTGTGTGTGTGTATCCACATATATACACACACATATATATATATATTACCCCACCATTTCAACAATTTTATATCTGATCTCTTTCTAGGTAGAATACAAAAAAGTTTCCAAGTAAATAATCAATTAAATTTAGCTATTTTTATGAGTAAACTTCTAATAATACACAGTACACCTACAACATTTAATTAGACTGTTGCATCATAATTTGGTAAATCCTCATATTTTGAGTTTGTACAGCTTTAAAATTTTGAACTTAGGTTATTTATATTGAGAAAACTGCAAACTAGTGTTAATTAGAAGCACCCATCAGAGAGGCATAAACAGGTTGTATACAGTATTAGGTATGAAGTTATTGTAGCAACATAAAAGGGAATCTAAATTATATGAATAGAACACTATCAATCAGTTATGTAAGCTGTGATATATCTGAATGATTATTTCTCTTTGTAAAACGTTCATTGATAGTTGTAATCACTTTAACTTGAAGCAGGATTAACATTCATAAACACTTAGCTTTTTAATACACTCGAGAGAGATCATGTATTTCCTAACTCTTATGTTTATGTGATTAAGACGATAATTTACATTCATTCCTCTTTAGTTTATTCTATAAGATCTAATAGGTTTTTGGCAGGAAAGTGTTTCCTCCTCTTACTTAAGTAAAGATAATAATGTAAAGATTAATCAGTATACACTCAAGAAGTAGTGTGATGGACCAATAGAGTAGATGATCAGTGTGATCTTAGGATCATATAAAGATATAACAGTAACCTTCGTAAACAACTAAGTTAAGTGAATTTATTTATTTTTTAGAGCATGTATAGGAAAAGTACATTTTTATTTTTAAAAAGATGATTGAAGATTGACTTTTCTAGCAAGTTTTGGTATGTGAATGGTCTAGATTGATTTCCTAAGTAATCTGGATTGTAGAATCACCTGGATGCTAATACTTTCTGTAGAAGTTTAGTTGAATGTGTGAAAAATACAAACTAGTAAGCTTTCTGTGAACTTTGATTGGTAAGTCCTCATACTGATTTTAACTGATCAACATTTGATCTTAAGTGAGCTTTAACTTTAGACTTTGATCTGAATTTTTCATTAAGTGTGTGATCAAAATAGCTTCATCACCAGTTATAGAATTGACTAATGTAGATTAGTGATAAGATCAATGTAAACTCCTGTACATAAAGTGTGTTTGTGTAACTTCTCTATTCTGTTGTCATTTGTCAAAGGTGGATATCCTAAGATTTGATATTCAATTTTACTTTTTACTGAAAAGGAATTTTTCATCTTGTTTAATCATCTTGAAATACTGAAGTACATTTTCTTGGTAATTGAAGAATAATTTCCACACTTTTTTTTAGCTTAGTTGGCAAGGGTTAATTAATTACATTTGCATGATGTATAATATTTTTTCAAGTAGTTTATGCATTTGAATTGTTCTACAATACAAATAGTCTAGCATCAGCTGAAGTGTGGCTACTAATTTTTGACTAGTTCAAGTAAAAGTTGCTCAATCTTCACAAGCTGTAAATGTTTCAAACCAAAAAAAAAAACATCACCATAAAAGCTGTTGCATTTCATTTCATTATGAAGCATTTTTTTTATTTTAATTTTTGTAAAATTTCACTGCAGAAATTCATTCAGTAATGAAACAAATTGAAATAAATGTCCTACACAGTTTATATACACACGTACAAATGATTCAGAAGTCCATTGACAGCAAATAATTCAAAAGTTGGGAGGTATAGTAAATTAATTGTTAGTGGTATAAAATGGAGAGTTGCAACAATGTCACTGAGATCATTTAAGACCAGGTTTTTCATAAATATTATTAATATGTATCATATTCCAAAAATGTCAATGGCAAAAGTATAGATAATAGCAAGTTAAATATTTTAAACCCAAAGTTGTCAAAATTGCTCCTCAAGAACAACAGTTGAAGACATAAGTTCACCCTTACCATGTATATGGAGTTGTGCCACAGAAATTTGAAATATAACAAACCTAGATTGAAGTTGCAAAGTCAGAATTTTGTATAAGTAGATCAATGTTTAAAGGATTAAAAAAGTATTAAAATAAATGCCCTGTACATAAGTTAGCACATGAGCATTGTGCTACAGCTGCTCCAAAATCATCTAAATAATAACACAATATTCAGTTGAATAACAGTTATCGTGGTTCTACTGTATGGAAAGTGTCACCAGAATGCCCAAGCTGCTGCCAAATTGTATGCTGAACGGTTCCCAGATGAACATCATCCTTTACATAGGTGACAGGAAATGTTTGTCAATCACTGTATACTACAGACTCATTTATGCATAGATGCTGTGCAAACAAACCTAGAACAGCAAACAATTTTGACATCAAAGTTGACATAATGGCATTTATCTCATTTTGGTGTCACTTTGAATACAACTTTTGATCTTTTTGCTACAATTTTGTACTACTGTTAAGCTGCTTACCTCACATGCATTTATGTCTATAACTGTTGTTGTTATGGGGTGATTTAGTAATGTTTGGTTTAAAATGTTTCATTTGTTATTGTATACATCTTTGCAGTTGTAATTTTTGATGTATGTTACATATCAATAAAACTTTTGAAGGGCATGACCTTGAATGACCTGAGTGATATTTTCACAAGGTAGACCCACAGCATACCTCCATCCATACCAATAACAACTATTTTCGTATACCTCTATTTCTGAATTATTTGCCTGTCAGTGGAATCACATGGTATATAATAGGACTTTTAAAAAGTAAGTGACCATTTAACATGACAACTTTTAACTATAATTACATAGCAATGTTAATAAAACTTTTATTTACAGTGAGGTTGATTTCATTGTGGTAATTACAATATACTGTTTGGCATTTATAAAAAAGTTTTTAAGTATATTGACAGACTCATGCTTTTGTTTCAACTCACTGTTTAGCACACTGCTATGAAAACCTTTAAGCTAAAAACAGTTTCAGTTCTAAAACTTTTTACACATTAATTCATAAGAAGAGCTTATTTGTGATTAGAATATATATATATAAATAATTATTTTATGCCTGTTTTATGCTGTTAAGATTAGTTGCATTTATACAATTTTACTAAATGTATCATTTATAAACCAACATTTTTAAAAACACGTTTAAGTCATAGAATAAAGATTTGGGTATGTCTTTCAGTTTTCTATTAATCAGTCATTCAAGTGAATGAAATGAAGACAATTTTTTAATTTCTCTGTTGACAATAAAAGAGAGAATAAGGAATTATTTCAAAAGATTTAACAACCTAAACACTGCATTGATCTAACTTATGATTTGACTTACTACCATGCAAGTGGTGAAACAAATATGAGATATACTGATTTCATAAAACATATTCGCTCATATTATATAATTCATTTTATCAATCAGATTATTAATATCAAATATGTCTATCAATACTAAGATATCAGCTTATATTTTCTAAATCACACAGACTGAAGATAATCAAGAAATTGAAGGCTGAAGTGATAGTTTAGTATTTATGGTCCAATTTTTGACATAGCAAATATAAATATTGAAGTAGCTGTCTAAAAAATAAATTGAAACTTTTGTTTTTGTGTAATAACTTAGTAGAAACACTTCCAAATACATAATTCACAGGAATCTGATATTTCATTATCAAGTTTAAAGTGAGTCATATGCCAGTTAAAACTATTATCAATTGATAGTACACTGTTGCTTGTATATGACTTATTTATTAACAAATTTATCCATCCTAGTCATAAAAGATAATCAACTTATAATTTTTGTTTTTTTATATTAATCTTTGGTCCTTATATGTGGTGCTAATCTCTCCAGCAGTAAAATTATCATAATTTGGTATGTGTGTACTGTTAAAATAATCTGTCCTGCAAATAAATGTACTACTTCAAGAAAATATTCTGTAATTAATGATTTGGATTTTCTTTTATAAAGTTTTATTCAGAAAAGTTTTCATTATTTAATTTTAGACTGTCATTACAATGGAAATCAAACATTGATAGAAAGAAGATAATATCAACCTTTTATTGTTAAAGTATATTGAGAATTTGCTCAATTAAAAAAATTGATAGTTTTATTTTTAAAATTTGAGATTCTTCAAAATATATAAGTGGTTATTTTTAACTTTTCAAATATAAAATGGTGTTTATTACTAGGCATTTTTATTAAATAATGAGCTATATCTCCAGAATTTATCTTTAATTGCTCAAAATTTTACTATTGCAGCTTTGAGCCATCATTAACCTATTAGAAATATTATCAAACCTTCTTGAATTTAAATTGTTCAAACAAGTCAAATCAACAATGGTAAATAAACAGTAAATGGAAATCAACAAATGAACTATTAAAATCATATGATTTAGAAGAGGATATATATATGTTTATGATATATATTTGTATCAATAAGTATTTTTACGGATATCTCTATTCTTCTATCGTATTGTATCAATACATACACATTCCAATGCCAAAATGTGTACATTAACTATCAGAAAAGTGTATAGAGATATCATCCAAATTCAAACATATTAAAATCTTAAGAATACAATCAACATCTCTAAATTAGAGGCCAGCTTTTATACTTGCTCATTTTAAGATTTTTTCTGATTAAAGTAACTTCTTTAGCCTTTTGATCAAGAGAACTATGACTCTTAGATAAGATCTTAACATCAATTAAGATATTCTATCATGTACGGGTTAGCATGTTTCTCCTGTATACAGGTTACTTAACAAACAACGTTTGTACAATGGCACTGATCAGGTAGTTCATATTTAGCTGCTGTACACTTAGTTTGTACATAGTGTGTTTATTTTTCATTTGATGAACTTGTTATTAAGAATTTAAGGATGGTGCTTGGTTTTTATACTATTTTAATAGGTAAATCTGATATTCTAATTACTCTCTTCAGTTTTGTGCTGATATAAAATATATATGATATTACCCATATAACCTTAGCTTTAAATGTGTGTTTCTTGTTTCCATAGTTCAACGGAAGTTGTTTTTGCCTATCAAAATCCCTTATTATGTTTTGTGTATATTCTTGTGAGCAAGCTTTGTTTTTGTTAAGAGTCATCAAATTTTTCTATCAAAATTAAGAGTAGAAATCCAAATAATAAAGGTCTTTACTATATAGTTCTTTAAATTATTTCCCCATCCTTAACACAAATGACAGTGTCTAAAAATGGTAAATTTCTACCTGTTATAACATAAGTAAGTGTAAATTTTATGAATGAATGAACTGTATTCAAGAACTCATGTAAACTAATGAATGATTCTAAGTTAGTGTTATACACTCCTAATATTTCACCTATGAATATGTACTATGAATTTTGTACTAAGTATAGCCATGATATTACAACCAGGACGACTGCTATTCTATTTCCCATAGACTGGGATATGAACATATAAATATTTCAACTGTTTGGTTAAAACAAGCTCTAAGGTTTATATAAGGTAATGTGTATATAAGATTTAACAAAGAGTTTTATAAACAAATTAGAGGAACAGTTATGAGGAATAGAGTATCCTCTTCTAAATCCTCTGATTTTAATAGTTCACATGTTGATTTAAATATATTGGTTATTTATCATGTTTTAAAGATGTGCATTATTATTTGGTTAACTGATAACAGTGCTCTCATTTTGTTTCAACTAGATTAGCGATCTTCTAAATAATTGATAGCTCTTGATGAAGCTGTAATAATGAAATACTGAACTAATAAAGTTACGTTCTGGAAACATAGATCATTTGATTTACATTAGAAGAATTATTTAAGTTAATTTATATTAGAAATATTATGATTAATGAAATAAACCTCAATATTTGTTCATTTATTTAGGTTGAATGTCAAGTGGTTTCCCAAATTATATTTCATTCCTTGATGTTAATCACACATTTGTAGTAACCTCTTAAAGTACACAATGAATACAGTTTTTAATCTTTCCATTTTTGCAGTATTTTTGTCCTGTTGATACATCCTCATACCCTTATAATGTTGTTTAATTTTCTTCATACTTAAAAATGTTATCAAATCTTTGGATATTCAGTGACAAAAGTTAAGATATTTATGGCCTTCTGGTTTTAATCATTTCTAAATGTCTTTTACACCCATGTGATTTCTTGCGATATTTTTTTCTTATTACTATTTATTTCTATCTACTGTGGATAAAAAGGATATATTTATGAAATGGTGTATAATTCAAGCCGATTCCATTGAACTTTTTTACTTTTTTTTGTAATGTTCGTACATTCTGTTAGTTGTTATTAGTCCGTTAAAATTTTCTGAAATATTTAGTAAAAAGCAATTAGATGATTAAAAAATTTTTGTCACTTTTAATTTTTAGGTAAAGGCCATTTTTAGGAAGTATTTTTCTTAGGGCTTTGATTTTTTTCAAATTCTTATCTAAATTATAAAAATATATATTACTAGTACTAAAGTTTCATTTCATTTAAAAAAATAATTTGAATGCTGTTCTTTCTCTTCTAATTTGCTGCCTTATCAGTTCTTAACTCCTTTCAATTAATTAGTAAAATCTTGTTAGAATGGTAGCATTAGTAATTTTGAGTTATTGGATGTCATTTTTGGTCTAATCAAAATATTATAAAATGTGTTTTATAGTCATTTAGTCATTCTAGGAATAATTACTGGTATGTCTGAAACTTGTGGCACATGTCAGAGAATAGTAGAGAGTTTAAGCATTATGAGGTGTAACATTCTAAAATATTACATATTACTGCCGTGACCTTGACTTCTAAGTTTTATGGTGGTTTACTGCAGCTTGCATGCATGCAAGTATTAATGTACAGGTTAAATAAATTACTTTACACCTATCCCTCAATTTGGAATACTCAACATACACTCACTATATTCCTGGTTTTTTTTTTTCATTCATGCATGTATTTCACAGATTTTACCAAATAAAAAGAATATAAATAAGAAATAAATTTGTTAATGTTGTATGAACTATTAACCTTGTAATCAGAATCCAAATCATTTGGGAAATTGTATTTTAGTTTTTGTAAAGAAATTTTTGTATCTTGAACCCTTTGTGATAAACTTGTTCATTATGTAAATACAACATGAGACCAAAGACTCTTGACTTTACATCTGCTATGTTCCAACATAAAAATAAGTACTAGAAGCGTATTATTATTTGATGAAATGTATGTTTTAGTCCTGTAAAAAAAACTTAAAGTAAGAACAGTTTATTTGGGTTGTTTTTTTAACACACCTAAATATAAACAAATGTTACTAGGTCTGGACTGATAGTTGATTTGTTTCTATCTATTTTGACATTGGTTTAATTTTAAAATCTTTATATATTTTCAACAACATGCATGTTTTATTTAGAAAAATCCTAATAGAGGTGTTATTGAAATAAGTTAGGATCAAATGTTATTTCTTTTCAAATCTTGTAAGGTATTCTGTGGTCATCATAAACATGTGATTATGGTAAGGTCAGGTTCCAGGAAAATTGACCATACTGCATAGGTGTGACAGTTTTTATATCAATAAATTCTCTATTAATTAGTGTACTCAATTGACATGGATTAACAATAAATACCAATAGTTAATGAATAAAGAATCCAACAATCACAGAAATGTTGTGCTTGTACTTTATTTTTGTTTTTCAAAAATTATCCCCAACACACAAACATTTATAATTATATATATGTTGGTGTACTTTGGTGACAGATTTTCTTGTAGGCAGATTTTGTTAAACAAGACCGATGTCTGTAGGTTTACTTTCTTCTTAGAATTCTTCTCAAGAAGTCGATAAGCCGTCTTAACGTTGTTAGAACAACGGTACTATAAAAACCAATTCTCCACTGCATACAAGACAGACGAACGGATTCTAAAGGATATCGTTTACAAAAATACTACACCAAAGAAACAGAACACAAAACTGCAACTCAACATCTACTACAAGTCTACCACAACGTCGGACCTTATTGTGAAAAACAGCCCTGCTAAAAAGACATCGGAAAAACTACCACAACCCTGTCAAGACGCTTAACAATGCACCTACAAAATGGAGCCATCAAAAAACACTGTGCCCGCATCCACAACCAAAAACTCACA